CGTTTATTATTGACCATATACTTCATCAAGTGCAATAATTTCCCTCCCCAGGAACAATTCACGTTATGTATTTTTTTTTATTAGTCTATTAAGATTATGTAAATAAAGAACAGAATTCCTCAAATGACTAGGATGGCTTCATGCGAAATAAGAAACCACATCAGCCCTTGACATAGTGTCCAACTGTTTCAAATGAATACAAAAAAATAAAGCATGCTAGGGCACTCGCTACAGATTTGATTACAGTAGATAGTCGCAAATTTAACTGTTTCTCTTACAGAAATGAAAATTTTCTCATCATATAATATATTTTTTTTGACATGACAAAATATGTTACATAGACTCATCTATATGTGTGAAGTACGTGAGTCGGACACATGACACCTTCATATGAAATACTATGTATTTGCACAAAACCCACCTTGTACTGCCTTCTGTTACATTAATACTTAAAAACAAGCGAAATACCAATATTGAAATCTCAATGTCACATAAAAGACATATCATCCAAGGCAATAATAGAAGAATATTAAAATAATAATTCTTATTTAACAGTGTCCTCAGATTTAGGTATTTGATATATTCAACCTTAGTCGGTTACCTGCTTTGACATTTACCAACTCAAAACACAAGTACCTGACTCCATATAATATGGCTGACAAACCATCCTAGATCATTTATCCGATACTATCGGTAGCATATCCCAAAATAGGTATAGCAAGATAAATTAGCATATAATTAAACCAGGCGCGTCCTTTTGAAAAGAAGAGAAGAAGGGTTATAAAAAAACAATAGATCTACTGAACTTTCTCAAAGAATCTATTTTTATCAGAAATTACCGCATAAAGTGCCTCCAACTTTGAGTTGTTCCGTAATATTTCAAGAACTGTTCTATAGGTTTCCCATAAGAACTTAAAACATGGGGTCACAAGATAATTCAGCTTTCTCAGTGGATAGACGCATGAAGTGCTTGATCACCTTCTCCAACGAAATAACATTAACTTGCTGACAAACTATGCGATATTTAGTCAGACCATCCTGAACAGAACTACCCCTTCTCATGTCGACGCAGAGCTCCACATACTTGAACATAATCCTTTCGAGAGTCTCCGGCCATGCTCTGCACCTCTTTGAGGTGATAAGACCATGAAGTACTTGCAAGGCATCTTGCTTCTGCTCAACATTTATAAACTCTGCATCCGAGTATTTCACCAAAGGTCACGTCAAATACAAAAACATAAAACCAATCCACATTTTGCATCAATATCTGTTAGCCACCGGGACTAAAGCATGCTGTGGTATACAAGGCATAAAAAATTCAGAAATTAAAGTCTGACAATAATGCATTTTTATATCTCAATGGCATGAAATGCATATAATAATTTGCCATTGGAAGATAATGAACTCATTAATCCGTGTATTGACAAGTCATCATGGGTAACAAAGATAGCCAATAGTACTCCCAAAACTAAATAAAAAAAATATTTGTTGTTGAATTCGAAATTAAAAAACCAGTTGAGCATTCAGTGACAATACAAAAATACAAAAAGGTAAAAAATAATTAACCGACCGGAGCATGTCAAAATCAAAAAGCAAAGAAAAATCAGTGTCTGCATAATATATATAAATATAAATTTTAACTCAGCAAACCTCTTCACACTGTGTCTTTACATTATGTGGCTTGACAAGGCCAACATAAAAACATTTGTACAACTAATATTAACAGGAGTAAAAATATATATAACTAACAGAAGTTATAATTCCAATAGCATACTTATTCAAAAAGAAATTAAAATTTGGGAAAAGAAAAATATAACACTGACCTTCAGCCCCGTCTCAGAGCATTTTCCAGTTCAGTAAAAATTGCCATGTCAATCAATCAGACGTTCCGTTCTCAAGAAACGGCACACCACAATAACCTGCAACATATCATCATAGCATTGTTGCATTTAATTAAAGGTAAGCATAAATTTGTACAAATATATGCATTTATACATATGAATAAAAACAGAGCAGACGGGTCATAACCCACTAACAGCCCGTTTAAAACGACCCGTAACCCGTTTCCATTAAATGGGTGGTTAACCCGTATCTGATCCATAATCAGTATACTTCAAAATTCACCATGGGATCGGATTTATTCATACCCGACCCGTTACCCCCAAATAATTATATACCCGATTCGGAAAACCCTAGAAATTTTGCCTCTTTTCAGTTTCAGTGCCATGAAACCATGAAAGGCTTCAACAAAGATGATGAATACACACAATCACGCCCATCTATCTCATCCTCCGATTCTCCGTCGGAAAAGCAGGAAAAGAAAATAAAAGAGAAGGGTCACCACAAACGAAGTCTCATTGGACATATCTAAAGAGATTTTGCCATCCTTATTAACGCATGCAAGAACCACTCAAAACCATAACCCAAAAACATAGGAACAACAAGCATTGCAAACTTTTCAGAGACCCATCACATAGAAACAACTCATATTGCAAAAATATTACTATTTCAACTTGGAAGAGAGATGAAGTTCGCCTCGAAACTAAAAGTAGAATTTCCAAGTTCAGAGGAACTTACCCAAATTTGCTGATCTCGCCGCTAGGGTTGTCGTCAGCCGGGTTGACTTTACTTAACCCGTTTATGGCCATATAAACCCGTTATTTTACGGGTCAGTAATACTGACCCGCGTTTAAAACGGAGTATATCACCCAAGTCACTAAGTTGCGGGCGGGTGGGTTTAGGACATATTACTCAATCTCATTACTGTAGAAACAGATACGAAAAGGGTTCAACATTGAAATGCCATTTGAGATCTTGCAAAGAAATTGGTTGATTACAAAATGATAAAATGCCAAAAAATTGGAATTACCAATTTCATTAATGAAACTCCAAAAATTACACTGTTATACAATCAAATATAACATAATATACATTGAAACTAGAACAGTGTTTGCATTTAAATTAAATTAGGAATTAGGTAGAGGACCATATAGAGAAAGGAGAAGGTCTTGAATGGGCTAGATGTACTAGGCTTATTCAAATCATATAAAGTCGTATGTATTATATAGATATGAACGCACGTAAAATTTAGGCTTCGTTTGACATGCGTTTTGTTTCTGATGTTTTTATTTTTTGGTTACTACAATGTCGATTTTAGTAACAAAAGCATGTTTGGTGTGGTCTTGTTTTATACCAAAATATCAAAAATTTGTTTTTTTTTTTCTTGTTTTGATAATTGTTCATGACCCAAAACAATAACAGTAACGTAACACGGGCAAAAAACAAAACGCATAAAATATCGTTTCCAAACGTGTTTCTGATTTTTTTTTCAAAACACTCCTACAACAAAAACATTATTTCTGTTTTAGCCAAAACTAAAATGCCTAAAACAAAGTGCATGTCAAACGGATCTTAAAGAGATCCTTTGTCAACACACTTAATTTTCATACAAACCTATTTGGCTCTAGGCCTCGTATACTTGGCATTTACAAGATTACTTTGCTCGTCCTTTACGGCTTTACTTACTTTCATAGCATAGCTTACAATTTTTCACCTTAGTTGACTTAAAAGCTTGTAATAAGTAATCAATGGTTCAATTAGTAAGAATGTAGCTAGGTTATCAATGCAGCCAATGCTTGTTAATGTTCAAGAAGTTGTAATTGATTCTCTTTGCACTAATCAAAATTAAAGAAGTACGGATATATTGTTCTATTGTTTGTCGGTCAAGTTCATAACTTTAATTCAACTCATTTTTTAGGAGTCATTTTGTTTAAACAAAAATGAGACTTATCATTTGAAAAGGTGATTTTTACTTTCACAATTGTTCATAAGATAAGGTAAGTGGTATAAGGAGAGATTTGTCTCATATAAATAGAAGTATGATGGGTATAAATAGATGGGTAAACGTTTATCCGTTACCGTTAATATTAGAGTCAAACTTAATCCTTGATCTGGTACCATGTCAAGTGTTCAAGTAAGTTACCTAAATAAATAAGGTGATCCGACTATAACAAAGACGTTGCGAACTCGAGTGAAGAGATATGAAGTTCAAAATGAGGTGGAGGAGTGGGAGTGAATATTTTTGTGACTTAGAAAATCGCGTGAGAGGAGGTGGCCCCTTTGAATAACAAAAAAGTAGTAAGATATTATCAAAAATTGGGGTTGGAGAATGAGTAACCAAAAAAAAAAAATCAGTGGGGCCAACTTTTCTATAATTAATCAACCATTGGATTTTTTTAATTTATAACAAATATTAAAACAAGTATAAAAATGCTATCTGGAGTCGACTGGCATCACTGGAACATATATATAACATGTCTGTCCTTTAATCTTTAGAGTGAAAATTGCAAGGCAATAATTAATTGTGTGCCTGTCCTTAAGCAGCTATCAAAGCTATGCCTGTCAATCGAGTAGGTAATTTTGGATTAGCTCCGGGGACCTAGAGCTTACCCTTGAAATGGTGGAATTGACCATGATGCCCTTGGGATAAGAGGTGCTATTTGAGTCAGTCATTCACCGACCATGTGCTAATAAAGAAATACAATCCACTTTAACAAGTCATCTATATCTCCTTTTTGGTTTGAGGACCCATTGGTCAAAGTAAAGGGGGCAGTTGGCTACTTAGTAGTCGAATAGGATCTCTTTGCTAGCAAATAGCAACTCATGCCCATCAGCTGAGAGAGAGGGTCGATCGCTCAGATTGGATTCGAAGGCAGGAGTGTAGTAAGGCTTTCATTCAAGCCCTAGCGCACAGGAGCGCACGCACTGTAGTTTTCGTAGCCTCGAACTATGGGAGTTGAACATTTCAAATATATATATTTTTAATTTTATGTCGACCATGATGGTGATGTCAAGTCTGTTTGATAGAGCACGCCACTTAACCTAGATTAATCTAACTGATTATTTGTTTATGATGTATGGGGTTACTTTACCATTTAATTTTCTAAGCCAAATCCCACTAGACTTTCGTTAATAACATGGCTGGATCATATTAGCATATCTAAGCACAAATTATACATCACAATTAATCTTGACCAGAAATTAGGTACATGATAATTAGACCGATTACATACAGTAGCTTGAAATTACAAGTAAGTTGGGAACTACTCGATCATAACAATAATCCAAAATCTGGAAACTTAAAACATATATGAAGCTTCCTTGGCAGCTAGCTGCAATGAACAGAATTAAGTAAAACTTAATACACAAATTTAAAATCAAACACAAGGGTATATATCTCACCCTTTCAAATACATCAATTAATTACATAATATGCATTTCATCATACATAGCCATATACAATCACTGTCATTGACGAGGGCTTCGTGCACTGTGCTTATAGTTGTCATCTGCTGAGAAGGGGAAACCAACGTTCTTGAAAAGAAGATTGGTAAGACACCATAAAAAGGAGAAGCACAAGAAGCAATCCAACACCCCAAGGAGTTCCGCCGGCCCTGTGGAGCGAGTCTCTCTCCGGCAGTGGAATGAAAAATGAAGTCCTCCGGCGATCGAAGTTGGAGAGGAAGTGCACAACTAGCAGAAGAAACAATGGTGACACTATGAGAACCAGCTTGACTTGATCAAAGAAGTCCTCAAACATGGACTCATAGCTCATGTACCAATTTAGGCTAACAAACATGAACAATATAAGAAGAAAGAAGCACAAGTGCAGAGGCAAAGGAGGCTGAGATTGAGAAGATGAATAGTAGTCTCTTGACATATCTAACAAGTTTAGTATGTTCAGAAGTGTTCAACAGAAGTTGTGTGACTAGGTCTCTGAAGAAAGTTGTGTGGTGAATATGGTTTATATAGTGGGTGGCATTAGGTTTGGCTTTGTTTTGGAAGAATTACAAACTCCACGCGCTTTAAGAGAGCGTGATCAACACAATCCATATGGACCATATATATAACCATTTTTTGATATGGTGTCTTAATCAATTGAATAAATTATTATATAGTCCGGAACTTATAGTTAGTCAATATCTACTTTAAAAGTTTAAGTTATGAGGGTGCCGTAACTTTAATATTTAAGTCTCTCGACAAGCCCCTCACATGTGGCATTTTTTTGGATCCAATACGTGTTTCAATTTTTAAATTATGGCGATATTGAGAAAATATTTAAGTCCCTTAACATGTTCCCTCATATGTGAATCTTCTTTTTAGTCTACCATGTGATTTAATTTTTAAATTAAGGTGATAGTAAGGTTTGAACACAGGACTTGCCTACTGATACCATGTTAATAACCATTTACTTTTAAAACTTAAGCGGTTAGAAAATATATAACTTGAATATTTAAGTAGCTCAACAAAGACCATTGGTTCGATCAATTATCAATTAACACATAAGTAAAAAGTAAAATAAAATTGGCATAAAGCTTATACCTTTGTGGACAGTACTTACTTATTTATCGGTGAGTAGGACTGACCACTGATGTGATCTATTTATAAATAAATACATAATCTATAATTACAAAATCGAAAAAATAATGATAAGTACAATAATTTTTTTTGAAATAAATTTAGTTGATTTTTTTGATTAAAACACATCGGCAATTTGTGACTTATTTACCGATGAGTAAATAAAATTAATAAATATTGCCCTGCACTGTCAGGTGTCGATCAATAATTGATCATGTAATAATTGTGAGATGGATGGGCCGAGGCGCGTGTGATTGACATTTTTCTTCTATGTGAAGAAATGAGCTAAAAGGAGACTTTGATTGGCAGCTTTAGTTGCGTTATGGGATTCTTTTGATGCATACAAAAATTAGGCCGGTGAGACTTTTTACTATTCTATGGTTGAGATTCATTCATGTTAGAAAAAGTTAACTAGTGATATGTGGCTACGTGTCACCGACCATGGACCGACTATTGGATATATATATATATATATATATATATATAGCTAGATTTAGTAAGGAGGAGTCAGGAGATGCCATTGCATTATAATAAGTTTAGAGATGGGTGTCCATGTCATTTCTTTAATTTTTGTCTATGAAAATGCAAACAATGAAATTAAAGAAAGTTATAGGTGTCTTTCTTTTATTGATTAAGTTCCTTAGGCAGTTGGTACCCATCAAGTTAATTGATGATAGTTTGATTGGAGGATCGGACGGTTGTGATAGCATCAAGTTTGGCTTTGGCATTGCAAATGTCGGCTCCATGCCAAATGATTTACATCTTATTGAAGTTAAAATCTTTAATTATACAGGCTAATCCAACTCTTTACCATTTTAGTGAAAATGCCCAAATGCCCAAGTAAATAGGGTCCACTAGACTTGTTTGACCTTTTAAAGGCTGTGCGTAGGACGTACTAATTTATATGAAGAGTAACGTCTGTTGTCTATAAACTCTGTCCCCCACTAATAAAGTAACAAGATATTCTCTCACTCTCCTCTATATATATCTACATAAGCATAATACTTTAAACATCCGAAAATAGTTAAAATGGTTAAAGTATTATTCCACTAATTGTTCGACACTTGACTTCTTGAATTTATTTATTTATTTATTTATTTATGTGTAAATAAGCATAATTTGTCTCCCCCTAAACGGTCATGATTTTGGTCCCACTACATCCTTAACGGTCACACTGCTCCACAGAGTCATCCTTCACAGTCATGATTATACATTGCGATACATTAAACAACTCCTTTGACTTCTTCTATGGGATTATCTCTCCAAAAACAAATTCAAGAAGTCAAGTGTCGAACAATTTATTTATTTATTTATTTTTTTTTTGGAATACTAATATCACATTCCACGTTACGAATTATGTGTTACATAATTAAGTATTATCTTTTTTTGGTGCAACTTGAGTAGGTTGGGCGAGTTAAAAAATGTGGTTGAACAATGTTGTCCAAACTTGAGTTGAACTTAATTACTGGCTAGAAAGAGTTGGTTCAAGTTTTACCATGGCTAGTTAATTAGGTTAGTAATAAATTCAACCAAATTGGATTAATTTTTCATAACGGTTTAATTTTTGTATATAAACGATCATACACTATTTTTTTTCCCAAAAAATAAAAGTAAAGATCTTACATTATTGTACACTCATATATGTGCATATAGAGAGAGAAATTCATATTCAAATGCTTGTTTTCGGGTTGAGCTCAAACCAGAGAAATTAGGCTAAAAATTTAGTTCTCGGTCAGTTTCCAATTAGATACTCCTAAGCATATAAAATTTTAAAAACTTAGTGCAAATTTCTAAGAAATTACAAACAAATTCTTAGGTTAATATACAATAAATCAAGATTTTAAAAAGGAAGTTGAAAGGGAAATAACCATCATAATCTGAAATATATATAATACCTTTATACGTGTAATTTAAAAATATATATATAAAATAAAATTATAATTCCGAAAATGACTAAGCCCATGCAAAATAAAGCTAGGCTCAAGTTGAATTCGGGTCGGCCCACCCAATTTGGACCTCTATCCATAATGCATTTCATGAAAGAAGGCTCACAGATATAGCAATAAGGGCCCATGTTTTATTTGGGCCTAACATTACCCAAAGGTTTCGTTGTACATGCTAAAAATCCATTAATAAAAGGGTAAATTACACCGACATCCCCTGAGGTTAGGTCATATTTCAGCCAGATAAAGATTTTGGTTTTAACTTTTACTTACACCCTAATCATGTGAATTGACCATTTTACCCTCAATTTTTAATACAAAATATATATAATCTTAAATGACAAAAGAGCCCCTATCCCTACCCCCAAACCACCGCCACCATCTTTGGCTCCATCTATGAACCAATTTGTATATAGCTCATTCAAGTTCGCCTACATCCACCACCACCTATCCCAAACCACGACCACCATCTCCATCCTGACATCCATCACCACATATCTCAAACCACTGCCACCATCCCCACCTCCATCCTCACAACCACCACCATTAACCCATCACCGAAAATCGACCGAGCGAAAATCCCATCCTCATCGGCGAATCAATCTGCGACATAACCCATCCCCAAAACCCATCCTAATCGATCTGCAGCTTTCCTTTCTGGCTGCACCTTCCACTATCCCTAAAACCTATCCTCATCAGCGAATCGATTGACGACGTCCACAAATCGTGACCACGGATTCAACGGTGTCCACACAGACCAAGCGGCGGCGAAGTCGTCAATATCCTCGCCGTCAACGCCAGCATCCTCTCCGACTCCGGCGCCCATTAACGTGAAGATCAGCGATCAACCAAACCGGAAAGCACCCCTGCTGTTGGTGATGGTAATCTGACGCGCCGCGTGGGTGAACGCACCAAAATCGTGATGTCCATCACTGCAACTCCGACGGCGACGGTGGCGGCAATTCAGGTGGCGACAGTGCTGTCAATTCGGTAGCCTCGAGTGCAGATTTTTCTTGGTTGGGTGGGCTAAATATCTTCCCATCGTTGACTTCCCTTTTAGTTGTGAACAAAGATTGAACTGGTTGGTCGAAGGTAGAGAGAGGGAGAGAGAGAGAGAGGGGAAGGTTCATGACAGAGGCGGGTGGGCAGTGGTGATTGTGATGGACAGTTTAGTCATAAAAATAGTCAATATGAGGTCAAAGGTTAGTATAGTCATTTAACACCTCAAAACTATTCTGATTCAATTAAAAATTGACATTTAGGGTGTAAGTGAAATGTTAAACTATTCATTCAAATATAAGTGAAATCCAAAACCAAAATATTAATATAGGTGTAATATGACCTAACCACAGGGGGTGTGAATGTAATTTATCCATAATAAAATTGTAATTTAGAGAAACAAAACCCTTAATCTAAGAAATACAGAAATAAACTAAGAAAAAAAATTACAAATTGAGTCCTTGTATTACATTCCATGAACAGGACTAATACTTTAGATTCAAATTTAAATCTTGTGCAACTATTTTTACTTCCATTAAAAATTAAAAAAAAAATAAAAATTTGATTCTGGAAAAATACAAGAGCCTATTCTCGAAGCAAGGTTAATTGCTGTGCTGATGCTACCACGAGTTGTACAATATTAATGTGCTACTGGGGACTTGTCATTGGTCTTGGTATGGTGACATCATTCACTATCATAGTGACATCATTAAGAATCTCCTCTCAATAATATGGGTGTGGGTGTGGGTGTGGGTGTGGGTGGTGGAGAAGAGGGATGGATTAAAGTGGGGAGATGCATATTTAATCATTAGATTTAAATTATTTTTCAGGGGTTGTGATTTTCAAAAAAGTATTCATACTCTTTGGTGGAGCCCACTACTCGTGGGAACCTTAATACAAGACTGCGAGGGTCATAACTCATAATATCCATTGAAATATAATTTTAATTTCTTTTTCAGAAATATCAATGAAACGGGGAATTACATTAATGAAATTATACATACATTAAGATCATAATTGACATCACTCATGATAGAATAGTATATAAGTTACAGATAATTTGAAGATTCATCTCAATTTTGCAACATCATTCTATATGAACAAGTGTGGAGTGAAACACCAGATGAGTAAGACCCCACCAACAACCACTTCCAATCCCAACCACCTCCTCCCACCGCACAAACTTGCACTATTATTTGAACCACTTGTTCCCGAGCTATTGGCACTTGTGGTATTGGCTTTAAGTGTACCCAAATAAATAAACATAATAACAAATTAAATACAATCCAACATCACCAATTCATCAAATATATATATATCCACTATATTAAAAATAAATAAATAAACAATGTATTGAAAAAGTTCAATTGTCTTACCACTAGCAACTGGGCTACTGGCATTAGCCTTAGAGCTCTGATTAAATTGATAGAAAACCTGAGCATCTGTTGAATTAGGTGCCAAGTGCAGAAGTTCTGCATCCACCACAAAATTCAAAAATCAATCCTATGGTCTATATGAGATCAAGTTCAAGCAGGTACGCACGCGCAGTCATTGTTTATTGCTGGTAACAGGAATAGAACAGTTAACCTCCTTCTATTTTGAGATTCATACTATCTGGACTAATACCGATTGATCATAAACATGAATCCGACCGAGTTTAAAAACAATATTCATCAATTAACTGTTACGCAAACCCAACGAACAAATTTGTTATTGCAATCATTTTGACACGTTGGCACAAATTAGGGTTTTGGACTTACCAGGGCATTGAGAGACATTGGCAGGGGCAGAGCAAACAGAAGGAAGGCCCAAAGCAAGAGTGACATTGATATTGAGGCTTAGTTCTGGATCATTCCTATCTTCAATGATCACACACAGACACTTCTTGTTACTCTTGAGGACTTGCTTGAGACCACTGCAACAGTCTGGTGTTGGGGCTTTTGCACTACCTCCCACATAAGGCAGACATGTGGCTAGCCCAACCAACTGCTGTGTACACTCTTCTCTGTCCTTGGCTGTATCAGAGGTTGCACTAGACATCAGTGTTGACACCATCAGGAGTGAGAGTCCCACTCTAATGTAGTCTGAACCCATTGTGTGTGTATGTGTGTGTATGTGTATGCATATGTATGTGTATATATATATATATATATATATATCATGTAATCTTCTCATCACTATTCACAGTGCCACTTCATAGAATTTTTGGAGACTCTAGTAAAGCAAACTTCAAATATCAGGGAAAAAATGTATGTCAGAGGATGAATTGGCATGCTATGATTGGCAATTGCAAGACAACAAAAGAGGAAAAGTATCTATAGTGGGGTTGGTGACTTGAGTGTTCACAAATAAGATGAGAGAGAACACATTTTGATAGCTTAGACACCTGTGAATTAACCCTATCTTGAGAGGTGAGAGTTTGATGATGATGTCTAAAGAATTATAGATAGGGCATGTATATTCTCCCAAGTATCAAAGTGGGGGATGAAAGTGGATCAAAAAGTGTTACTATTAAAACCTACCCTGTGAAGGCTAATGATGGATGAAGCTTCCACTAGTGTTTTTATATCATGGCGTCATCTGCCGTTAAAATGATGTAATCACATAATTTTATTTTATTTTATTGTATGTACTTGTTTATTTAATTTTTGTTTTTGAAGTTAGAGTAATTAAGTGTATGTATGTATAACTTTGTACAACATTGGGACTTCAGCCCACAAAAGAATTATAAAGGCCCATGATGTTTAGCCTAACCCAACTGTAGTTGACCCCAAAAGACCGTTTCTCAATATAAGGCCCACCCCATAGTTTCTCCTTTTGGATATGTACGTAATCAGTTTGAAATTGGAACTAGAAGTGGTGGAAATCGAAATTACAACTTGTGTACAAAAAAATTACTGTATAAATATTCAAAATATAATTGTAAAAATTCAAAAATATTCAAAAAGAACAAATGTTCATGATTTTGTGATGAAAAATTATTTTGTATACAATAATTGAACTTTTTTTTTTTGGGTTAATTCTCAAAAAAAAAAAAAAAAAATGAAGGAAAAAAGTTACCCGTGAAACTCACCCGACCCGAACAAAATATTCGGGTCGGATTATGAATATAACCCATTTGATAAAATTCGGACCGGCCCAACCCAACCCAATTTTGGGTTGCAAGTTGGGCCCAAAAAACAAACAAGGACCAAATAGGGCATCAACTCCAGCGAGCCCGAAGGAACGCCAAGCGAAGCCGCCGCCGCCGATCCCCTGGTGCTTTTACCTTTTAACCCTCTATAAGATGTAATAACCGCCGCCACTCCTACATACACTTTCCAAAAGAAAACCCTAATATTCCTTTTTCAGAACTCACGATTGTCTCTTGATAGCTTTGGCTTCTTGCTGTTCGGCGGCGTCTCTGTCTCTCTCGTTCAAGAATGGCGGCAAATCCAAGCCACCAACTATATCGGATAGATGTAGATTTTGTGGACCCTGATACTTTCCAATGGTCCTTCTCACCCGATACTCTTCCCTTGATAGCATACGCGCATCATTATACATATGACGATGATTCGGCGGAATTAGAAAATCCCACTGTGATCACACAATCGCTGGCTGTGCCGTTCTGTGTGCTAGAGTCTAATGATGATGAGGCTGCATTCTTATTCTTCTCCACCGCCCTCGCTCACATGGGAGTCACTGTAGATGGCCCTCTATTCGATCAGCTCCTCTACAATTGTCGTCACATGAACAATATTGTAAGAGCTAACATCATCAACAACGCCGTACGCACAGTTTTTCTTCACGTAGAAGTTCGAAGATGGCCGTCCAATTACTATATATATGGAACTACCGATGATGATAATGATGATGCAATATTAGCTCGAGCTATAGAGGAGTCATTGGAGGAGGCGATGCATGATGATGATATTGATGATGCAATATTAGCTCGAGCTATAGAGGAGTCATTGGAGGAGGCGATGCATGATGATGATATTGATGATGCAATAGCTCGAGCTATGGAGGAGTCATTGGAGGAGGCGATGCATGATGATGATATTGATGACGCAATAGCTCGAGCTATGGAGGAGTCATTGGAGGAGGCGATGCAGATGGTACCGGCAATTCCATCTTCTCTCCACACGTTGGAGAAGGTGAAGTTTGATGGTTCTTGTTGCATGAATCATCAGTGTTTAGTTTGTCTGGAGACGTTTCTGGTGGATGAGGTGATCACTTGCATGCCCTGCTCTCACCTCTACCATGAAGACTGCATCATCAAGTGGCTAAAGACCAGTCATGTTTGCCCATTGTGCCGGTTTGAGATGCCAGCTGTTAACTGAATCAGACTAGTATTTGTATGTAATGAAGATTCTATGGTTGTGATTGTCTTGTAAGGCTCTTCTAGTCTATGTATTTTGTAACTGAATATTTGTATGTAATGAAGATTCTATGGTTGTGATTGTCTTGTAAGGCTCTTCTATTCTATGTATTTTGTGTAAAGAAGGGTTTACTTTGTATAAATATATTGAAGGTTCTATGTTCAGTTATGTTGTGAGACTATTTTGTGTGTGTGTGTATATATATATACATATAATATGAAGGTTCTATGTTGTGGTTGAAAGTGGATAAATGTCCATCAGTTCATGAAGTGGAGAAATCTTTGTTTATTTATTTCGATCCTCCATGTTCCTTAAGGGCTGCTTTTTGGGTGTGGGTCCCACTTTTATATGATAAAAATGATAAAAATGGTTTAAAAAGTCATTTCACATCTCTATTTAATCTTTCATTTTTAGATTTTAACTAACAAGGGTTAAGCAAAGTGATCAACCTCGCCTCTTCAAGATATGGGGCACAGTTCTACCATGGACGTCTAAGAAGCCCTAAAGGATCAGTAATTGACTGGACTTCACTACAGTATTTATTATTAGTCTCATTTGTATGTATGTGTTTGTATATATATTTATGCTCCCTCTCATGATTCTCTCCAGCATCTCACTTATCAATCAAATTTACTTTATTGATTATCAACCAGGATTTCAATCTCTGAATCAGGCAGATCCAATTCCTGCAATCGGATTGTAATGCTGAAATTAAGAAGCAAGAAGTAGTTGAATTCACTTTTAACAGCCTCAAATCAGGTCACTACATTTGTTTGAATTTATTTTTGTTACTGATACTTGTCTAATTGCACGTGCATTGTTATCTGATTGCTTTATTTTTGTTGGAATTCATGCTTTAATTGGGGGTTGATCTTTGATATTGTAAAAACCCTAGCTTTCTAAGAGTTTTAAACTGGTTTTAGAGCCCTGTTGGTCATTGTTGTGTACATTTTAAGTTTGATAATGGTGGTGTTAATTAATTTCAGTGAAATTTGAGACGGTGAGAGGAGGCGGCACTGGCCGTGGTTCTGGAAAGTCCGTTTACTTAAAGTTGTATAATTTGAAATTTTATATTGATCTGGAAAGTGCGCTTTGTCTCAGCACTCTAATAGCATTTATCTGCAATAAGTGAAGCCCGATTTCTATGGGCATTGCCTGCATATCTTATTGGATGATAGTCGTCTTTGAACTGGTTGCTTAAATGACCAATTTTTTTTTTTATGTTTTAGGTTGTGGACCTTTCACATTATGGCCGCAGAAGAGGTAAACTTTTCCCTCTTGCACTTCCTATAAATGAAGGACATCACCTTATGTTTTATGAAATGTGACTTGTATATATTGATGATCAGGAAATCAATTACGCTTCTAAATAAGACTTCTGATAGTATACTATGTTTAGATATTCAACATTGACAATGTGTTTCATGATTATATTAAAGGCATCTATAAATGATAAATTTTTGATTTAGGATCTATAGTTTTTTTTTTTTTGCAGACCATGTGTTTTGATGACAAGGTCTCTTATAATAACACAACTATCAGGTTTTGCGGCATATTTGATATGTGAGCTGGGTAGGGGACAGGCCATTCATTGTTTCTCATCTGGAAGCACGTTTCATATTGAATTAAAACTGTTTCTTTTAGGATGAGTTGATGCATGATCAATTATGCTAACTGTTTTTTAAATAGTCTGATTTTCTCAGTCATCAAGTCAATAGGTTCCTGTAATGGAGTGAAGTTACATAGAAATAGGAAAGTAATACAAGAAACGATACCGGAGAATTTATGGATAGTCACCGTATATCAAGGATTTCAATTATTTTCAACCATCTATTAGAGAAGTCTGACACATTCTTTCAAAAAAAAAATTTAATGGAAAAGTATTGTTGCCAGAAGTTTCTTCTCTAATAGTCTATGGGATGTGCATCTGTGTAGGTGTGCGAGAGAGCGCGTGCACGCCGCCCGGGGAGGGGGGGGGGGTTGTGTTTCGGTTAGGAGACCTTTTTAAAAAAAAAAAAAAAAAAAAATCATCCTTTTCTCTTCAGTTTTTGTGACAAAGTGAAAGAAAGCACATTGGAAGTATGAAATCCCGAGGCATAGGTCAGAACTGCTATGTTTTTTATAGTGTAATTCTGAACCTTGTCAGTATAATACCTAGTGTGCAGAATGCTTTTTGGTAATTGTTAGTATAGTTCTATGATGCTTCCATTTTGCATTTTGAGATGCTAGCCCATAATTGAATTTGGAATGTAGTTATGGATTTTTTCTTTGTTCCTTTCTGCATCCAAGTGTCAATTGTAGTGTTCTGGTTACTTTTGTATTGGGTATGTTCTGGATTTTCCAATTAAAACCCTCAATTGAGTCCTTACGGATTGAGGATTTGAGGTGCAATGGTATTTAGTTTGATGCACTTTTGTTTTCTTCTGTGTTAATTTTATGGGTTTGATTGACATGAAGTCAACGGAGAAAACCGTATTCAGTTTCTTCATAACCAAAGTACTGCAGATTTTGAATGCCTTTGGGAAGGACAGGTATTTTGTGGAGATTGAACACTTACTCTTCTTTAAATGTTTGATTTTTTTTCCTCCACAGTTCTGTTCTACTGTTGATATTCCTAGAAGGTTAAGGAACAGGATCTAAATATGGTTGAAACGTATAGGGGTGTGACATTGTTTTCGTGACACCGACAGCTCGAACAATAGATATTGCCAATGCATCGGTTATGGTAATCCTATGCCATCATCTTTCATTTATAATAATTGGCTTTTCTATACATGCTAGTGATGATATTGCATATTACTTTTTTAATAAGAATTTTACATTCATAGAGAAATACAGTTACATTGGTGGTCTCTCCAGTGACCTGTGGAAGCATAGCCGAAATGCTTAGGAAGTATGTTCATGAAATTCTTGTAGATTCCTTTATATCGTCTATATATTGTTTGGTTTTTGATCTCCTTAGCTTGGTTCAGTCTTTTTGGATGATATTTAGTTTGCCACTAACCCCACTTTAAACTTGTCTTCATATCATCATAACTTTTAACCAAAGGACAACTTTAGAGGGAAGGAGCTTTGTATCTCCTCCTTCAACTATCTACCAATCTTTTCACTTCTACTGATGTGGTGTCTTTGCATGCATACTCAAGTCTTAACTAGACGGCTGTGTGAATGGGGTCAAGGGTCCTGAAATTCTTGAACCTTTGTTTCTTCCAGCATCAGCAGTTCGGCAGTATCTCCTATCATCGGAAGGCCTTGAAGCCACTTAGAAGAGTCAAATTTTCAGCAAAATGCCTTGCACTCACTTGAGAGTATCTTACTCATATTAAGCACTGTTCAAAAGATTATTAGTCTTAAATTTTAAACTAGCACTATAATAAGGACAATTAAATTGTTAGCTATATTAATTTACGGAGATTTAAGTTGGTCTATTGATTTGCTCTATATTGATACACCACTATCTGGATTTTATTAAATTCTTATGTGCATGATTTTATAACATTTCCTTTTTACCTTGTAGCATATCAGAGTTTGGTTTTAAGTTTTCATTATCCAGACTGGAATCAATTTGCTAACGTATAAGACAAAGCCTTTAAATGTTGGCATGGGTGAGCCACTGAGTTTATTCTTTTTCCAGATAGGTTGGGGTCATTAGTGTCTGCAGACTTTTCTTGGGCGATTGCATAGGTCAGTGGGGGAGAGCAGTTATGAAAATAAATCTACTGAGAGGATTAGATCTTGAAATGTTGTAAAGAGATCAAAATAGGCTATGTTGTTTCTTGCCTTTGCATAGATAATCCTCAAAATTGTGTGAAAAGCTGAAAGCGGCAACTTCTTACCTTTGTGAGTTACGAGTTTTAAGTTCCAATCAAAGAGTCCTAGCTCCTATCTTAAAGATTTACAGTTTTGGAAAGTTGGATAAAATTGATATTAGACATTTAGGCTAGATTTTTTTAATGAAAAAATATCACTTAAAGAATATTAAATGATTGATCAGTTATGGTGTGATTTTGCTCACAAACATATCAATTGATTTTTCTTTTTTTCAATATTTTTGCTGTTATTAGTAAATGAGATCCAAGACAGATATATTATTGCACTCTCTGAACAAAAGAATAAAGATTAATTAATTAATTAATTATTTTTTATTATTTTTATTATTATTTTTTTCCCCCTAGTCGTTACTCACCTCTCCCCTACGCCCTTACCCCTCAAGGAATTGTTTGCACCCAAGAGGAGTCGAATCTTAAACCTGATGCTTCAAAAAATGTTTGAGCTAAAGAAGTGAGTGCAGTGCTCCAACTTCTTGCTAAAAGGACTGCATCACTTGATATCAATAGGAATAAAATGTAGAAGGAAGGGATTTAAGTTGAATAAAATTTAACCCAAGGATGTCAATACCTTAATTGAAAGACAAATGAGATAATATGGAAGTCACGTCATAAGGTGTATGAACAACACTTTTAAGTTAGAGGTCGTATGAAAAACATTGTTCATCTTTGTTTTAGAGTGGGGGGAGGAACTTTAACCCTCTGTACTGGTATATTAGGTTTCAAAGTATTACATATATTGAAGGTTTAGGCACTTTTGCAGTGAATAATTTTTGTAAGCTTATGGAAAACCTTGTATACTCTAGCTGGGGCCAGACTAAAATACTGTTCATCTCTACTTAGCATAAAGTGAAATTTCTGAAATTACTCCTGAAAACAATATGTTTTGAGCTTTCCTTATTCCCATGAAAGTTGCTGTATGTCTTAAATATTTTGGTTGTTTTTATTTGTAGGTATATATTTTTCGCTGATAAGGTTGAAATACATGACATCACCAAGGAAACATGCTTGTTTGTACTAGTGGGACCTAACTCCAAAAAAGTAGGGGATGTGATGAAATTTTCATTGATTGAAGTTTTTCCTTTCCTTTCCTTTCTTCTTCTTCTGTTTTTTTTTTCCCTCTAATCTGACTGT